TTATTTAAAAGCTATATGCTGCCGCAATTATATATACAAATACAAATTAAGGGAACCACCAGGGGTTACAATTGGCGACCACGAAGGGACTTTGTACTTGGAAGCTTTAAATATAAATACAAATTAGGGCACAGCGTAGAAATAAAAATATACAGTTTCAAATCTCATATATGAGGATTCAGTTCCACCACATATTCTACAATTCTGAAAGAGGCTAATTTTAATAACATGTTGTAAGAGCATTGTGAATATATATACTGCAAAATTAATTTGATATTGCAAAGCCTGCAATATTCTAAACAGACATTAAAATTTAAGAAAAAAAGAAAAATAATAATGCATAAAGAATAATGCATAAAAAAATGCAGTGTCAATTAAAGTGATAATACTCTGATATATTAAATCACATTGCAAATCACATATCTGCTATGTGAAAAGTATAATTAAAGTGACATTACTGTCCAAAGCCCCCTCACATCTATTTTATAGAATCTATACTTTTTTGTGGTCACCTCCAAAGAAGCCTCTGAAATTGGGGGGCTCAGAGGGGTGCTCATCCCAAAAGAAATCAGATTCCAGACTTAAATTTTTTTTAAATAAATAAATGATAGAAAAGGAATCACGGGAACACCCAGAACATGCATTTTTGTATATAATCTTAATTTGCAGATATTTTATGCCTTAAAGACATATTAAGGATATTTAATTAAATATGCAGGTATCTTTAAAAATTAAGCAAAGTTAAAAAAATAATAAATAAAATAAATAATAATAATAAAAAATTTATTTTACACCACCTGCAATTAAATATGCAGGTATCTTTAAAAATTAAGCAAAGTTAAAAAAATAATAAATAAAATAAATAATAATAATAAAAAATTTATTTTACACCACAATATAAACAGCTTTGTTAAACAGATTTAAGTACAAGTACTTATGTCAAGAAATATACAGAATACGTTTACAACAGGCAGGTTTAGCATAAATGCAAAGTTGTTGTTTTGGGGGATTTATCATTGCCCAAGAAATCTCCGAACATATTCAAAATTTTTGAGAGCAGCATGTAAGATAGCAGATTGCAATGGACACCATTACAATATTGCTTTGCCGATTGATGTCAGAGCTTTAAAGAATAAATAAATAAATGTTCTATAGCTCGCTAGATCACTGACTTTTAATGAACAGTTTGCACAACACTTATAAAATAGTTTGTTATACTGCACATTATAGCTGTGACAACATGATATACAGTGTAAAAATGCTATTTCACTGTTTAATAGACTTACCCAGTATTTAAGGACGACATGTTTCTTGCAAAGTCATCGGGACTTTGAGGGAGGTTCTAACTACGTTTAATTCATTAATAACTTATTAAAGAAAAAGAAAAAAAGAAGGTTTTGTTTTTCCCCTGCAAGTGAGTTTTCAGCGCAAGGTCATCTTGTGTTCACAGACTATTCGGATTTTAAAAAAGCTGTTCTTTATCTCACATTATGAACGGCCTTGTAATTCCTATCCACACTAAAAGTTGGCTTTTAAATGTTATTGTTTTAACTTTAATATTTCATAGTTAATACAGAGGATAAAGTAATATAAAGAAAGTATATTAATTGATAAGATTTAATTTATCTATTTTGGTCCACTGTTCACTGATCTCGAGTCTCAGTCTGGTGTTCAAACTGTTTTTCTTACGATACGTCGTGAGTTTATATCCACAACTGCATTTTGCTTTGTGGTAACAAATTGAAAGCCTGGCATTGTAATACGTGTATGGACATGCTTATAACAAAGCATGGGCCCTCTCCTCATGTAGTTGGTCATTAACAGGCACTTTGATGCAATGTGTCTACCAACGCTTTTCTGTGGTCACTGGATCACATCGCATACCCTATCTCTCAGTCATGATGCAGAGTTTATGCTTGCAAGGATATCCAGACCTTATCCACCTGGTATCCGTATAAATACTCCTATAGTTTAGATGGGTTAATTACATAACCATTGAAGGTAATATGTTGGTTGTTCTTCCTATAGAGGAAAGATGGACTTGCCCTAAAAGCTTTTTCATGGCTTGGACAAGCTCTTATAGAGAGGTAATGTACTTCTGACTCCTGAAAAGGAATATTGGTGGTCCAATATGGGAAGTACTGTAACTCATGTGTTTAGTAATCATAAGCATTTGCTTATTGCCACATTACTGATGTACTGTTTATTGAAATATTAATATCTAACATACTTTTTGAATTACTATATATTGAAAGTTTGACAACATCTCATGGTTATAAATGTTTTTGTATGTGTTGATGCATGTACCAGGTTTACTTGGATATATCCTGTGCGAAGTGCAACCTCTGATGCCACGTTTTCTAGTCTCACTTCCTTAGTATGCATTTGATAATCCCAGGACCATCCATTTAGATGGTGGTCCTGCAGTTACTGCAAAGGAAACCTTAAACTGGGCAACCACATTTGGGTTACTTTGGGATTTCAGTGCCCCAACCACCCCCAAAGAAGTGGGGTTGTGGTCTGGGAGAATGCTGAGGTTAAATGATTATTAACCAAGTTACTAGTTGCTTGCCCCACACAGTGGTATCTATTTATTCCTATGGTACAGATGAGCATTCACAACATACCTGATGATACAAATGGTGAGACACCATATGAAATGTTACATGTTTTTTCACTGACAATTATATTTCTGCACCAGGGAGAGCTTAGAACCATTTGTTCTATTAGAGAAATTTAGGGAATTTTTTTTTTTCTTACCCACCTCGCCTTGCAACACCACCTATTTCCTTCTGTTGGCCAGCTTGTCCTGGAGAGGGTGACTCAGATAACCTTTACTACAGAGAACAATCAGAGCCAACAGAGAACAGTAAGTTTTGATATTTTACAACCTGCTAAATACTAACAGGACGTTCACAGAACCACTGACTGATACAATGGATGCTGTTAAAGATGACAAGATAAACAGAGGACGACAGAAATGCCACCAGAATCATAGCCACATAACAGACTGAATTGTGATCTGACATCTGAACCTGCAAATGTGAAGGAGAAGGATGAACAGACAGACGTGATACATTCACAGTTAAGATGGAATGCTTACAGTCTACAGCATTATCATAACATCAACCCTAGCTGTTGTTTTAAAACTGCATTGGGATTATGTTAACAAGCAGGACTATATAACACACTATACAAGTTCTTTGATCGTGAGGACTACCTCCAAGAACTATCTCAAAAGGAGAGACATAGCGCACAGTGAAATGATTGCCTACACTGGTATTTCACAAGGAACCTATTGAGATTATTCCAAAAACCGATTATACCTGAGAAAGATGTGATTGGACAAATAACAAATCCTAATAATGGAATCAACGATGATGACAAAGCATGCTGAAATCTGAAAAAGATGAGACAGATGTTTGTGAAAGACTTTGGATGCACCTATGAAGGTGATGCAAGAAAAGACTTTGCCATATAGTTTATCATTGAGTGACTACCGCAAACAGCCTTCTTATGCTGAAAAGAAGTGCTATGCTAATTCTGGACATTGCAATTATGTATCCAGACAGAAGATGACCGGAAAAAGAAATAAAGGCTGATAACTGTCAACACCCAGCTGTTTTTCAAGATGGAACATGGTACTGAGAAAACCCGATAGACTATCAAAGCACCTCACAGTACAAGACAGATTGTTACCTACAACTCAGAAAAAGGGGTTAATAGGAAGGAGCAGAAGAAGAGGAAAATAGATTTCCTACTGGAGTGAAAAAACCATCCTGGAACAATATTCTGTGACAATGAACTTTACAATGACATTTGGTGGCATATGAATTTGAATTTGGTAGAAACACATCAATTAACTAAAGAAACCTTGATGCAATTAATAAATAATAACAATACCGGCTTACTAAGAGCAGATGCCCTGCCAAGAGAATGGAATATAAAAAGACCAACAAAATCTTTCAGAAACTTGACATCATGGGACACTTGTATTAAAGCACGATTTGCAGCTTTTCTTAAACTCTACATATTATGTACATACCTGCAAAGCAAGGAACTCCTGTAAACATAAACACAGAGACATTGATACAACAAGGAATCTGTAATAGTTCTGTTGCAGATGTGATCTACCGTCGTACTCCTTGCTCTTTTTGTATAACTATACCAATCAAAACATTAAATGGCTCTCTAGGACCATAGACCAAGGATTCTTGCTATATTCTGGACTTTCAGGAATGTGGTGCATGGACAGAAAAATTATAACTACTAAAGCAATCATGCTATTTTTTTCCCTGTATCAGAAATGTGTCAGTGACAATGTGTAATATAATACAGATACTATAATTAATGGTATAAAATAAACACATAATGTGTTAATTACAAAGGTGGATAGACTTTGTGAATATCTGAAACGCAATTGAAGATTATTGCTAAAATGCCATATGCAGCTGCAGTCTGGCCTACAAACAAATATATTAAACATACGTATAAGAGCATAACAGCTAATTACCAAGATGAATAATTGAATCATGATAGTTAAAGATCATATGATTGCAATAACAAGTGCAATAATGAATAAGGTTTAAACTTTAGAAGAAAATATAAAATGTTTTTATTAAAACAGAAACTACTCGATATTCGTTTAAGTTTGCAGAGTGGTATAATTAATATAAGTGAAATACTTCAACAGTTAAAAACAGTTAAGACAGGCAGAAACTTTACTTCAACTATCATAAAGTTTATTTATAATGATAAAAATATTCAGTCTGCCAGAGCTAAGGTCAGTCAATGGAAAGTAAAAGAGTATTATGGATTAACCCGTCCAGGTGATATACATGATGATTTTGGAAATTGATCATTTAGGTCACCTATTGCAAACTGGTGAAAAGATGTCAAAGATATAAATTCATCATCCATACCACTCTATGTATACATATATATATTAAAATACACATAATCAAATATTATATCAGTTTTTCAAATACAAAGAAAATGTTATTTGGTTTGTAATGGTTAAAGGTACATAAACCACCTATACAAAGGTAGAGTTAAAATATAAATACATTCAATATTGTATCGGAGTGCTTTCTTAACTCACTTTTAGAAATAATAATACATTCTAATCATCTTAAGCTACATCCAACAGCCACTGAAAAATGTACTTAAACAATTAAGATTCACATTGTTAAGCATCCAATCTCACGAACGTAACTTTCCACAATGGCTGTCCGATCTTGGTTTAAAAAAAAAAAAATGTTTTGAAGACAATTTTGGGGTGTTTCTGGTATTTTAAGCCACTAGTAACTGTAGTTATTATATTTACTAATAATAACTAGGGAATAAGTTGTCTTCTCCCTAACAGGACAAAGAAGGATAATTAATGTCATATTTCCAATTAGCAACTATTCTAAATAGATTGAGAGATTTTGAATAAAAGAGTATTTTTAACATTTAAAGAGAATGTAATTTTACATACCATTGTGAACAAAGGCGGTAAATACTTTGCTGCTTCAAATTATCCTTATATCTCTAAATCATATACAAGGGTGTTTATCTTTAAAACAAAACACTAGAAAGATTAACTATGTTACTATTTCATCTATCATTATTATACAAACTATAACAAATGTAAAGATTTTTCCACAGATTTTACCTGTTAACATTTTTAGCACAACAGCACCTGATGTCAGTGAGATTCCAATACAGCAAAAAGAGGCGTTCTTGAAAATCCACTTCGATTGCTGTATCAACATAACATTTACTATAATTGGATCCATGTCACTTAAGACAATGTCTTGGAAATTATGTCAATTAATTGATTCCGTAAAAGAATATCGGAGAGTATCCAATCTATACACATCATAAATGGTGTAAAAATGTTTCATAGAAAAAACAAAATAAAAAAAGACAAAGACAAATACCAACACCATCACCAAGGTGATAACAGATGATGCTGATTTAATATCTGCAACCAATTCTAGCCAAATATTTGGAAAGCTGGACTCTACAACCAATACTAAACAACAAATACCCGGGTATTCTACAAACACAACCTCCAGCAATGTATCTAAAAAATTTAAACTTCTACAGGCATTTAAAGACTTTGAATTACAAATACAATTACTACTTTTAACTTTGGATTACAATTCGTATCCGGATCTATCCAAGAATATCTTACTCTGGAACCTGGTGTTCTTTTCAATTCTTTCCCAGACAAAAGCTTTGCTCATTTTAATCAACCACCTTTACATGCAAAGATCACACTACGGATATTTTACTGTTACAACAATGATCAAAGATGCTGGGAGCACAAAAAAACAAAAGACTGTTGGAGAACTTTGGTTCACTAATTTAAGGAAGAAATACGCTACAATGCCCACAGTTTAATGGAGAGGGTGTTATGGGCAAATGCAAATATTACAAGTTTTAGAATGAAATGTTGTATTTCTTAAACTGTGTACTTTGTCTTTAAGAGATATTGCAAACTGACAAGGTGTAAGAAATGGAACATATTGTTTCTCATAGATGTTTCTTTAAGCAATAACCTCAGTGCATAATATGTTTGCGCCATTTTGTCCCAGACGAATTACAATAACAATAATGCATAAACAAGCTTCAAGGCTATACTACGACACTTGCAGTACACAATATACTGTGGTAACCCCAAGTTAATGGAACTTCCCCAAATCCGGGAATCTCCCACGACTGTACACTTACGACTTAGTATAAACAACAGATAACCTATTCAGACTTTAAGATGCCATCTTGAACTAAGTCAGGAAAATTTCCATGACGTATACACCCTTTAGTTATGGCCTTGTATGTTTGCCAAGTTAAGGGAGGTCCTAAATTGAATAAAGTAAAAGAAGTGTTACTTTTTCATATTTGAACTACAGTAACCTAAAATGACGACACCTAAGGTATAAATAGGTGTACTTTTAAATGTTAAGACACAGAGGAGAGACTTGGAGACAGACGCTGCTCCATCTTAAAATGACAGAGAGGCTGACATGATGACATGTTCAGAAGGGTATGTTAACCTATTAATGATATTTGCAAGCATGTAATTTAATCTTATAAACTCTGCTATAATGGATTTTATATTTTTATATAATAAATATCCAAAAGACAAAACGATTGCTTCCAAGACAATCCTTATTTTATATTGTATTCTCAATTATTTACATATGTTAAATAGAGGATCTCTTACACTATATAAAATTATGGCTAAGATATCTGTATGGTTAGCCCTACTAAGTTCTATGCTTTAAGACATTATAGTGGTAAATAAGGGAACCACCAGCGGTTACAAAAGTACTGCCATACAGGTTGCATGGTGCACCGGCCCCCTTTCTGCATTTGATTAATAGGATACTTTGGCCCCACAGAGAGTATGCAGCTGCCTACCTTGGTGATGTGGTGATTCACAGGGTGGGCTGGGAAGCATACCTGATGAAGGTCCAGTTAGTTGTGAATAATGTAAGGGCTGCGGGTTTGACCGCAAACACTTAGTGTTATCTAGGATTAGAGGAGGCTAACTATTTAGGTTATCCTATTGGGTGGGGGCTCCTTAAACTACAAGGGAGCAAGGTAGCCGCCATCTACAATAGGCCACTTCCTGTAACTGAGAAGCTAGTCAGGGCTGGTACAGCCCTAGGTGATATGAATGTTCACGGTTTGTGTTTGAAGGCCGCTCGCCCCGATGGATCTGAGCTGGGAGGAAGGATATGTGATTAAGTGAAGGCAGATAGGCCTATAACATTTAACCCCAGGGGGAGTATGTGTAGTATGGATTGTAGGCAACACAAACCAAAGTTTAGTTATGGGCCCCTGGGGTGGAGCATTTGGAGAGCAGGGTGGGCCAAAGCTCCACTCCGCAGTTTGCATACAACTTGGAGAAATAAGTTCCAGGCCAGAGTTTTGATATGTCTCCAACCCACTGCTCAGCTGCAGATAATCAGCTGCAGCAGTGGGAATAAACCCCTCCCTGCTAGGCAGGTAAAGGGGGATTGCTGGCTTCCTCCCTGGAAGCAGGTAGGAGAGACACTGTTCTCTCCTGTGAGAGAGTCAAGGAGACTGAGCACTGGGTGTGCAGAAGGAAAGCAGTTAAGGCTGGCTTGGAGCACTGGTTGTGCAGAAGGAAAGCAGTTAAGGCTGGCTTGGAGCACTGGGAGTGCAGAAAGGAAAGCAGCAGACTAGCTGAGAGCACTGGAGTGTGGAAAGGAGAGAGAATTTTGTTTCTTTCTAGAAGGAATGGAAGCCACATGCTGAGTGTGGAGTGCAGCGATCTGACGAAGGCACTAGGCTGGTGAAACCAATTATTGTTCTGTTATAGTTTAAACCCTTGAGAGATAGGGAACTTGATGTTAGTAAGTGCTCGGTTTTTGTTTATAGGGATTTGTGTTACTGTTTTTTTTTTCATTTGCTGCTGTATCTGTGGTGGAGTTTAACAATAAAGTGCCTGGAATTAAGTTGCCTTAAAAGACTGTGCATGTTTGTGCCCAAGAGGATCGTGCTACCTGCAGACAAGGATCACAGTTTTGTATATCTGGTTATTGACTTTGGCTTCGTTTGACTTTCCTGTAGTCTGGTATCCCTGACTTTTGGCTTTCCCTCATCGTTGTGTCTCTTTCTGTATCCCTGACCTCGGCAAATATTCTGACGATTCTCTGGTACGTTAAGTCCGGCCATTCTAAGGCCCGGTAATAAGTTACCTTTTAGTCCTAGGTGTGATAGAGTTCTATGTGCTGGATCAACTAGTAATCCTGACATAGGGTTAGGGTTAGATTCCTGTCATCATTCCCTTCATTTTACCTCCCTCTCCTGTTTTGCCACTTTTCAGAAATCCAAAGCACTTCGGGACTTCCGAAATTCGGTTCGGCACTTCGGACATTCGGAAGCATCCGAATGTCTGAATTGCTGAAATTTGGCAGAATTTAAATTCGGACCGAAACGAATTGCACAAGTCTAATATCCTGGCCTCTTCAATCTGTCACTAATTTAACTGTATTAGAAGTATCCTCACCTCCTATTTCAGGTTCTTCATTCGCTTTATGCTAGTACGATAGGCAGGTGATTTTTATGTGATTGTTATTTAAATTCACAGGCTGTTCTTTCACGTACGTAATTCAGTCAGTGATTCTATTCTTGCTCTGCTTCATGTCATATCGAGTTAGATGCATATCCTTACATAAAGTCTTTCCATGTCTACTTCTTCCCAGTCGTTGCATTTCTGGGGCCGATTATCAGGTATGGTCAACTGTGTCTTTATTATGCTGTTCAATTTACTTCAGTTAGGTTGACAACTGCTGTCACTAGAGTAATTTGGTGTTCTGAGCTCATAGTACTTATTTTATCTACTTTTCTGGCACAGACTGTTGATAAACAATTGTTCAATGTTAGTAATTGTGAACACAAGTTCTCTGGGGTAACTCTCAGGTTTTGGTTAATTTAATCACTGTATTTCTTTGCCCTTTATTACTATCAACTTTAATTTATCATCCAGGTATATATCTATTTAATTATGGCACTCGTGAATTATTTAGTATTTCACATTTTCTATCACCACGCAAGTGATTTGCTTTTACGATAATACCTCCCTACGTACAACAACCACTTGCTCTACAGAATGCTATAATTAGCTGGGTCTGGCTGTTGCGGTACCCTAGGTGACCATAAGTAGTTTTCCAGCTCTTGTGCTATTACATTGCTGTAGCGTGAGGCCAACTCAGCAAAGGTATTTCGCCCCTCGGGACAAATCATAGTTACTGCCTCGCTTCTCTGCCCTCTGGGCAAAGCAGTTAGGGCCTCATCAGTCACGGCCAACTTATCATATATATTTCTTTAGCTCTCACTGAGAGGCCAACAAACACCCCGTCACAATGCTCAGTGGCAAATCTACCCCACGGGCTGAATCATAGATAGAGCCTCTCATTGCCACAAGGCAACTAGTTAGGTTCCCAAGTCACCAATTTAGCTTAATCGTTTCGCCACTTGGCTTAATAGGGGTGAGCCAGTACCTGGGTGTTATACAGTATCTCCCATTAACAAACTGTTTCTCTTTCAGGTATGGTTATAATGTTGATAAATATTCAAGTATTGATTATGTAATGTCAACACGTAACAAGTTGTAAACAATTAAACGTTTGCCCTCTTTTTACAGGCCTACCCGAACATCGGTTCCCGCACACCACAACCGAGTTATGCCTCTACTTATATAACTCTGTTTATTGTCCCCGACCACAAATAGAAGGCTAAGCCTGTGGGTGAAGCCTGGAATTGGGGCAGGGGTTAGTTTGCCTATAAATATACAGGCTTCCCCTTCCTCTGTGCTGTTGCTGCCTGGTTCAGCCCACCCACAGCTCCCTTTATCAAACCATTCAATTTGGTTGGCCCTCTTTTTACAGGCCTACCCGAACGTCGGTTCCTGCACACCACAACCGACTTATACAACTACTACTATAACTCGGCTTATTGTCCCCTACCACAAATACATACATACATACATACATACATATATATATATATATATAAATATATGTTAAATATTCAGAAATATGTATTTATAACACTGTTTTTCTTATCTGTACCTTCATTATTATGTAAAAGATTTTTCTGTCTAACCAAAGATTTGTTGTTTTTTTTTCCCCCTTAACCCCTTAAAACCGGAGGACGTACAATTACGCCCTCTAATAGGCGGCTCTAAACGCCGCCGGGCGTAATTGTACGCCCTCCGGTTTTTGTTAACTTACCCGGTCGCCGGCGGTCCCACGCCGGCGATCGCGGTTGGGGGGACTCCCAGGGAGCCCCCCGCGGCACGTCCGTCCTCGTCGAATCCCCCTGGCCATGTGAGAGTGGGGTCCTAGCGAGGACCCCACAATCACATGGCCGGGGATAGCTGGCTTCTGTATTGCCGGCAGGGGGGCTGCCTGTAATGACAGGTGGTCCCCCTGCTGGCTGAAAATAAAATAAAAATAAGTTAATGGTGTAAAAAAAAATAATTATATATACTTAGATCACATATATATATTATATATATATGATCTAAGTATATATATACACATATACATACACACACATACACCGTCTAGGTGTATTTTACTATTAATATATATATAATTATATATATATATTAATATCAAATTACACGTAGACCGATACTGATTAAATATATATATAATTATTGTTATATATATATTTATATATAATATAAAAAATATTAAAATGTAAATACGTTAAAAAATAAAATTAAAAAATAATTAAAAATAAATAATTAAAAAATATATAGATGTGTGTTATTTCGTTCTAACTGTTTTGTGAAATTAATATATATATATATATATATATATATCAAAATACACGTAGAACGAAATAATATATATATCTATATACATAAATATATACATATATATCACTATATATATACCTATATATTAATAAAAATATTTTTTAAAAATTATATAGATATATACATATATATACACATACGTATATATATACATATATTAATTCTACATATATATTTATGTAATATTTTTACATAATTAGGTATCTTAATTAATTGCAATTAGCGGGACCTGCCTGACAACCCATGCCGAAAGTAAAGGGAATTTAATTTACTAGCACTATATTTAACCCTATAACTTTCCAAGACACCATAAAACCTGTACATTGGGGGTACTGTTCTACTCGGGAGACTTCGCTGAACACAAATATTAGTGTTTCAAAACAGTAAAATGTATTACAACGATGATATCGCCAGTAAAAGTGAAGTTTTTTGCATTTTTCACGCACAAACAGCATTACACGGACAATATTATTGCTGTGATACTTTACTGTTTTGAAACACAAATATTTGTGTTCAGCGAAGTCTCCCGAGTACAACAGTACCCCTCATGTACAGGTTTTATGGTGTTTTCAAAAGTTACAGCATCAAATATAAGGCTTGCATTTCAGTTTTTTCACATTAAAATTCGCCAGATTGGTTATGTTGCCTTCGAGACCCTATGGTAGCCCAAGAATGAAAATTACCCCTATGATGGCATAACATTTGCAATAGTAGACAACCCAAGGTATTGCAAACAGGGTATGTCCAGTCTTTTTTAGTAGCCACTTAGTCACAAACACTGGCCAAAATTGGCATTTTGCATTTTTCACAAAAACAAATACTAATGCTAACTTTGGCCAGTGTTTGTGACCAAATGGCTACTAAAAAAGACTGGACATACCCCATTTGCAATACCTTGGGTTGTCTACTATTGCAAATGGTATGCCATTATGGGTGTAAATTTAATTCCCAGGCTACTATACAGTCTCAAAGGCAACATAACCAATCTGGCAAATTTCAATTTCAAATGTAACGTGCTATATTTGACCCTGTAACTTCCCAAAACGCCATAAAACCTGTACATAGGGGGTACTGTCTTACACGTGAGACTTTACTGAATATAAATATGTGTATTTTATTGCAGTAAAAGCAAACAGTATTATGACATTGACCGTTAAAATGTCATGTAGAACTAAAAAAATCCAAAAAAACATATTTTCTCCCATTTTTTTCATATTAAATTATGTTTCATAGCTAAATATTTGATATTAAATGAAAGCCCTGTTTCCCCTGAATAAAATGATATATAATAAGGGTGGGTGCATTTACTATGAAAGAGGTGTATTACGGTTGGACAGACATGTAGCGCAAATGCCAGGTTTTGTTTACATTTTGTTTTGTTCACAATGTGTACATTTGGCTCCGTCCTTAAGGGGTTAAATAAAATGCTATCTATGGATACTGAAATGAAAAATAAATTTAAACATTGCTTTCCAGGACACCTAAAATATTCTGATTCCAGTGGTGGTTTGTTTGTAAACCACTTGGTGGTAAAGGGGTTTAGATTTAGGAACACAAATACTATCATGCAAATGCTGTATGTGGGAAAAGATTTTTTTTATTTTTATTCACATCAAGAAACTCACCCAGCATTGGGACAACCATACTACCCTTAGGTGGTTTATCAAATAACTAGGAATCATAAGAGTATTAGGTGACCATTAAGCAGTTTTGTCTTCTTAAAATGTTTATTGTTGGAAAAATGTATATTGCTCCTTGCTAAAGCAAACTTACATTAAATGTTCAGCCGTAGAACAAAAGTAGTATACCAGGACTGCACAGAGATATTTTTAGGGAGTCGCTAATAGTAAATCTTTAAAATGACTCTTGCTGTCATCCTTGACTATTTTTTTTTTTTTTTGTAACAAGTGTAAATAGAATAACCAAAGTGTTATCTATTTGCAAATCCTTTTGGGCACAAAAGTCTAAATTTAAGACTTAGTGTCTAAAATATACATTGTGCTGTATACAAAGATTAAATAGTGGTGTTTTATATAGAATGTATACACAATATTATGAGTAATCATATTTATCATAAACATACCATTATGTCGAAAGTATAAGTATAATTTTCAGCTTCATTTCATTTAATTATATGTTTATCCACCCAGTCCTTCTCAATGTGTCACTCTATACCAGTGATGGCGAACCTTTTTGAGCCCGAGTGCCCAAACCGCAATACATGCCAACATTTTTTCTCCTTAAAGTGCCAACACGGCAATTAAACCCAAATACTGAGGTTTAAGTTTAGAAAAAAACTACTCGTACTGTTGTCCGAACTAATAACTTTTGTTTTAAAAGAACACAGAGTTCAATGATACAAATTTTAAATAATGATATAAATAGATAAAATTAAGCTTATATTTATTAGTATCTCCAACAAATGCAATACATACACACACAAGACTGCTGAATACATAGACTGCTGAGTACACACACACACAGATTGCTGAGTAGACACACACACAGATTGCTGAGTACACACACTGCTGAATACACACACACAGACTGCCGAGTACACACACACAGACTGCCGAGTACACACACACACACACTGCTGAATACACACACACACACTGCTGAATACACACACACACACTGCTGAATACACACACACACTGAATACACACACACAGACTGCTCAGTACACACACACACAGTCCGCTGAATACACGCAAACACACACAGACGGCTGAATACACGCACACACACACACTGCTGAATACACACATACTGCATTGAGGTGGGGGGTGTGTGTGTGTGAGTGTTGTATGTGAGGGGTGCTGTGTGTGTGTGTGTGGGGGGGGTGCTGTGTGTGTGCTATATGTGTAAGGGTGCTGCGTGTGGGGTACTGTGTGTGGGGGGTAGGGGTACTGCTGGGAGGGTAGGGGTACTGTGTGTGGGGGGTAGGGGTACTGCTGGAGGGTAAGGTTACTGCTGGAGGGTAGGTACTGCTGGGGTGTAGGGGGGTAGGGGTACTGCTGGGGAGGGGAGGGGTTACTGCCGGGGAGGGTTAAGGGGTACTGCTGGGGGGTTAGGGGTACTGCTGGGCAGGGTAGGGGTTACTGCTGGGCAGGGTAGGGGTTACTGCTGGGGGGTTAGGGGTTACTGCTGGGGGGTAGGGGTACTGCTGTGGAGGGTAGGGGTACTGCTGTGGAGGGTAGGGGTTACTGCTGTGGAGGGTAGGGTTACTGCTGAGGGGTAGGGGTACTGCTGGGGAGGGTAGGGGTTACTGCTGGGGGGTAGGGGTTCTGCTGGTAGGGGTTACTGCTGGGGGGGTAAGGGTGCTGTGTGTCAGTATACCCCCCCCTCCTTCTTACCTTTAATGAAGTGGGGGGGAGGGGGGGACACAGCCATCCCTGGTGGTCCGGTGGTGGTAAGCACTGCAGGGGGAGGGCTCCAGGAAGCAGCTCCCCTGTCCTCCCGCGCAATGCTGTGTGGGGCGTTGCCATGGTAACGCGCGGCAACGCTCCACACAGCATCGTGCGGGAGGACAGGGGAGCTGCTTCCTAGAGCCCTCCCCCTGCCTCCCGACCCGGAAGCAGAGTAGGCGCCTGCCGTTTCGGGCAGACAGGCGCCTACTCTGCAGTGATGGCGAACCTGTGGCCGCGTGCCCACAGAAAGGGCCCCGCGTGCCACCTGTGGCACGCGTGCCATAGGTTCGCCATCACTGCTCTATACTATCACATTACTGTGAAGGAAAATATATTACAATCTTTCTTGGTATGGGCTTTCACCACATTATATTCTCTTAAATAAACTTAGAAAAACTCAGCTTTCTGTGATTTTTCAAAAGAGATTTTAGTAACCTCATCTGTCGTGGTATAGCATCTGTGTGTTTAATAAGAGACATATTTTGTTTTAAGTATATTTGCAGAAATTATTTTCCTTAATGATTTTGTTTAGATTTACCAGACAAACCCCCATCCCCATTTACGCTTTTCAAGACAATTATTCACTAAAATGCAGGATCTTTTGAAGCAGTGAAATGACAAATCTCAAAGTTAGCATTCTTGTTGTGACATTTCTCAGGGCTTTGTCCTCTGCTACTTTTTGTCTCAGTCCATGTTAGAGTCTTAGATTGTACGCTCACTGATCATTTTCCTGAGTAATTTGTATAAAATGCATATAATGCTAAATAATAAGCTTGCTGTCAGGGTTCTCTTTTTTTTTTTTGCACTGGTAAGTATAGTTGTGTTTTATAATGATTCTGTCTTTTTATTGGCATATTGTAACTTGTGCTTATCCCCCTAATGATCAATGAGAAACCAAACATGCCATAGGTCACAGGTCTATAGACAGAAAATTAAGCTGAGCATGTAGGAAGTGCTAAAACAACCCAAAAATTATGACTAACATCAGCACTGATAATTGATGCATTTGAACTTGTTCAAGTTGTATAAATATAGGAAATTATTTCAGAAATAGAACATCGCATAAATATTTTAAAAAGATGAGCCAATTGTATGTGTGGTTACGGCACTACCTCCAAAAAACAACAATTAATAACTACTTATATATGGTAGAATTTTTTTTGAGAAAATAATATGATATATAATAATATATGTTTTTTTTTCATCATATGTATTGTTCAGTTTCTCTTTCTCTCTCTGTCATTTATCTACATACTCTGTTTCCTTTTTTTTTTTTTAACTTAACACTGTTACAATTTTATTAAACAAATACATAACAAACTGACAAACAGACAGACATTTGGAGGAGATAAATTTGCATTTCAGGCTCGAAGGAGGGGGTTCGCATATTTTCCTAGGCGGAGGGAAACCATACGGCTAGAGGGGGAAGAAAAACAGGAAAAATCCACTAGGAAAAGAAAAGACAAAGAAGAAAACCTCATTATCTGGGGTCTAATTTTTTTTATCCATTTATCACAGTAGGTGTAATTATGTCCCTTTTTTGGTGCAAAATTAGTGATGGCCCTTTCCATTTTACATTGAATAATGCTTTGAGCATGGATCTTAGACCAGTTGTCTACCTTAGGAGATTTCCAATTCCTGGCTATTGATGTTTTCACAGCCATTAAGATGTGAAAAATAATAGGTCGGAATTCTTTATTGATCCCCGTCATATCCATATGTAATAGAGCCATACTTTGAGTTAGATTAATCTTTGTTTCCAATAAAGATGATAAATATTGGTTTAGTTCCTCCCATAAGGGTCTAATTTTTTGGGCAATCCCACCAGATATGTTTGAAGTCTGCAATTAATTCATTACATCTCCAACAGTTAGGTGGGGCTATAGGATACATTTTTGCTATTTTATAAGGAGTTCTATGCCATCTGTTTAGTATTTTGTAATGAGTTTCGTGTATATTTAAACAATGGCAAACTTTATATAGCGTATTAAACAAATTGTTCCATTCTTTCATAGTTATATCCTTTGCCAGGTCATGATTCCATTTAGTAATTGCCGGGGGGATTGATTTAATCTGAGTCTTGTAGATTATTTTTCGACATTTATTAGCCAAGTGAGTATAGTCTGACTGCGCGTATGTATCTGAAAGAAGCTTAACTGAGGGTTCAAGAGGGTTACATCTTAGGTATGTATTTAGAATGGATTTTACCCTAATATAATTGAATTATAAGGATTTTACTCTGTTTCCTATCAAGAGATTAGATATTTTTATACCTCGTAGAGTCTGGGTTTCCAAATATATATCTGTTATAAGATCTGACAATATACTTAGATTTATGCCAGGGATTATCTTCTTTTTTAGACCAATTATTTTTTAAAAAGAGACCAGGTGGGAAAAATTTGTTGAACTATCAACAATTTAGAATTTTTAATACATTGATTAGTTTCTTTATCTATTGCCCATATAAGGGTTTTGTAATTCCTTTCTCCCGAGGTCAGAATCTGTTCTCTTTTATACCAATTTTCACTTATAAAGTCTTCCTTATTTATCACTAAGACATGCGCTAATAAATTAGCTTGTACAATGTCTTGGATAATTGGAATACTCATACCTCCTTCATCTTTTTTCCTAGACTTAATATATTTTTTAATTATGTTTTTTTTGCCTGCCCAGATAAATTTAGTAAATGATGTTTGGATTAATTCTGGCTAGCTGTCTGGGATCTTTATATGAATCATTCTCATAATATACGAGAATTTTGGTACAATATATGCTTTTAATGTATTTATTTTCCCTGACCAGGAGATTTCCAGAGTTTTCCATTTCTTTAGGTTAAGATTTGTTTCTTTAATTAAAGGGAGGATATTATTCTCTATCCATTTCTTTGGATTTTTTGAAATTTTTATACCCAGATAATTAAAGCAGCTTTTAACTTGTTTAAATCCATATTTATTTTCTATACTATCAATAGTAATAGATTTTTCATTATTTATTTTATAATTAGAAAAGTTACTATAATTTCTCAACCACTTGATCAATGGAATCCTTAGGTTTCTGGATAGTTATCAGTACATCATCAGCATATAGCTTGATTTTTTGGTTATTATTTTCTCCAAGTCCTTTTATGCCCTTATTAGATCTTCTATCTACTGGCAGGGGTTTGATTGATAATATGTACAATGATGGTGATAAAGGACAGCCCTGTCGAGTACCATTTGAAATTCCAAACCATTTGGACTTAATTCCGTGACCCACGGTTCTACCTTGGGGATTGCTGTATAGGGCCCTTATGGCACTAAGTATCTGATCCAAGAATCCAAATAATACTAAGGACTCTCTGACAAAAGCCCAGCTGACCCTGTCGAATGTTTTTTTCTGCATCCAGTGACAGGGTCAGCATGGGAATACATTCCTCTCTAGCCTGTTCCAGATTGTATAGTGTGATGCCAGTAGCTCTGCCCTAAACGTACCATACCATTGTATAGGGGGCCTTGTTTCCATCGACCCGAATCCGCTCAGTGGAAACAAGGCAAAATAGATCCAGTTGAAGGGATCCACATTGGGAGTCAAGAAGTGAAAACAACCCCATATCCAGCTAACAATCACCTGTGGCCCTATAGTGCTTGGAGAACCTATTGTGGTGACATTCTGTCATCAAACTAATATGGTGACCAGGGATCATGTGACCAAGCTCATGTATGCCTCTCTTACAGTGGGATAAGCTTTACCCTTTGATTTGGTAATTGGGTAATTCAATACATTTACAAGTCAGGAAAGAGGTAACCACTTCCCCCATATCTCCATTCCTCCCTGTTCCTTCTTGGCTGTGCTACTGAGCAGACCCTTAAGCAGACATGGCCTAATTTCTATCATGGTGAACTGTGAGTGGGATTTTATAAGATGTAGTTGTTATTGTTAGTTAGGTTGTTGTTGCTGTTGATGGTATAGTCAGTTAGATTGTGTGTCATTATTTGTATGTTGTTGTTGTTTTGTCTCTGAATAAATATTTGTTAACCCCTTAAGACCGGAGGGCGTACTATTACGTCCTCTAATAGGCGGCTCTAAACGCCGCCGGGCGTAATAGTACGCCCTCCGGTTTTTCTGTACTTACCCGGTCGCCGGCGGTCCCACGCCGGCGATCGCGGTGGGGGGGACTCCCAGGGAGCCCCCCGCGGCACGACCGTCCTCCAGGAAGCCCCCCGGCCGTGTGAGAGTGGGGTCCTAGCGAGGACCCCACAATCACATGGCCGGGGATAGCTGGCTTCTGTATTGCCAGCAGGGGGGCTGCCTGTAATGACAGGTGGTCCCCCTGCTGGCTGAAAATAAAAATGAAATAAATAAATAGTGTAAAAAAATAAATAATATATACTTAGATCATATATATATATTATATATATATGATCAAAGTATATATATACACATATACATACACACATGTACACCGTCTAGGTGTATTTTACTATTAATATATATAT